CTGAGTGCTGGAATCAAATCAGAAGGGGTTTTAACAAAGTATTAGTTTAAGGGTGTGCACACTTATGCAACCATATTTTATTTTTTGCTTCCCTCCACCTAAGAGATTTCAGTTTGTTGTTCAACTGAGTTGTACAGTTTATAGGTTACATTAACCTCTTCACCGTCCCCCCCTTGTATGCAGTATCCTCTGACTCCTGTGACCCCCCACTCTCTCTCTCTCGTGTCCCCCCCCCCCGCTCTCCTTCCCTGTGTCCCCCTTGTCTCGTGTCCCTACCCCCCCCCCCCCGGGGCTCCTGTGCCACCCTCCCATGTTCCCTCAATCTCCTGAGTGTCATCTCGACCTCCCCCCATCTTGTGTCTCCTGCCGCCCCCCCCCCATCCTCCATTTCTTCTGTTCCCTCAGTCTCCTGTCCCCTCCACTCTCCGTCTCTTGTGTCTCCTGTCCCCTCCACTCTCCATCTCTTGTGTCTCCTGTCCCCCCCACACTCTCCGTCTCTTGTGTCTCCTGCCCCCCCCCCCCACTCTCCGTCTCTTGTGTCCCCTCAGTCTTCTGCCCCCCACCCTGTGTCTTGTGTCCCCTTAGTCCCCTGTACCCCCACCCTCCATCTCTTGTGTCTCCTGTCACCCCCACTCTCCATCTCTTGTGTCCCCTCACTCTCCTGTCCCCCCCACCTTCCATCTCTTGTGTCCCCTCAGTCTCCTGTCCCTCCCACCCTCCATCTCTTGTGTTCCTCAGTCTCCTGTCCCCCCCACCCTCCATCCCTTGTGTTCCTCAGTCTCCTGTCCCCCCCACCCTCCATCTCTTGTGTCCCCTGCCCCCCCAGCCCTACATCTCGTGTCCTCTGTCCCCCCAGCCCTACGTCTCTCTTGTGTCCCCTCAGTCTCCTGTCCCCCCCCACTCTCTGTCTCTTGTGTCCCCTGTCCCCCCCCACCTTCCATCTCGTGTCCCCTGTCCCCCCCACTGTCTGTCTCGTGTCCCCTCAGTCTCCTGTCCCCCTAACACTCTATCTCGTGCCCTTTGCCCCCCCCCCACTCTCCGTCTCGTGTCCCCTGACCCCCCCCCCCCCCCCCCGCTCTCTCCGTCTGTTGTATCCCCTCAGTCTCCTGTCCCCCCCACTCTCCATCTCTTGTGTCCCCTGTCCCCCCCACTGTCTGTCTCTTGTGTCCCCTCAGTCTCCTGTCCCCCCCCCCAACCCTCCACCTCGTGCGCCTGTACCCCCCCCACTCTCCGTCTCTTGTGTCCCCTGTCTCCCCCCCCCCCCCCTCCATCTGGTGCCCACTGTCCCCCTCCCTCTCCGTTTCTTGTGTCCCCTCATTCTCCTGTCCCCCCCGCATTCTCCATCTCGTGTTCCCTCAGTCTCCTGTCACCCCCCCCCCCCCCCACTCTCCATCTCGTGTTCCCTCAGTCTCCTGCCCCCCCCCCCCACTCTCCATCTCGTGTTCCCTCAGTCTCCTGCCCCCCCCCCACTCTCCATCTCGTGTTCCCTCAGTCTTCTGTCCCCCCCCCCACTCTCCATCTCGTGTTCCCTCAGTCTCCTGCCCCCCCCACTCTCCATCTCGTGTTCCCTCAGTCTCCTGCCCCCCCCCCACTCTCCATCTCGTGTTCCCTCAGTCTCCTGCCCCCCCCCCACTCTCCATCTCGTGTTCCCTCAGTCTCCTGCCCCCCCCCCCCACTCTCCATCTCGTGTTCCCTCAGTCTCCTGCCCCCCCCCCCCACTCTCCATCTCGTGTTCCCTCAGTCTCCTCCCCCCCCCCCCCACTCCTCCATCTCGTGTTCCCTCAGTCTCCTGCCCCCCCCCCCCACTCTCCAACTGGTGTTCCCTCAGTCTCCTGTCCCCCCCCCCCTCCATCCCTTGTGTTCCTCAGTCTCCTGTCCCCCCCACCCTCCATCTCTTGTGTCCCCTGCCCCCCCAGCCCTACATCTCGTGTCCTCTGTCCCCCCAGCCCTACGTCTCTCTTGTGTCCCCCCCCCTCAGTCTCCTGTCCCCCCCCACTCTCTGTCTCTTGTGTCCCCTGTCCCCCCCACCTTCCATCTCGTGTCCCCTGTCCCCCCCACTGTCTGTCTCGTGTCCCCTCAGTCTCCTGTCCCCCCACCCTCCACCTCGTGCGCCTGTACCCCCCCACTCTCCGTCTCTTGTGTCCCCTGTCCCCCCCACCCTCCATCTGGTGCCCACTGTCCCCCTCCCTCTCCGTTTCTTGTGTCCCTCATTCTCCTGTCCCCCCGCATTCTCCATCTCGTGTTCCCTCAGTCTCCTGTCCCCCCCCCCACTCTCCATCTCGTGTTCCCCCTCAGTCTCCTGCCCCCCCCACTCTCCATCTCGTGTTCCCTCAGTCTCCTGTCCCCCCCCCCACTCTCCATCTCGTGTTCCCTCAGTCTCCTGTCCCCCCCCCCACTCTCCATCTCGTGTTCCCTCAGTCTCCTGTCCCCCCCCCCCCACTCTCCATCTCGTGTTGTCCCCCCTCAGTCTCCCCCCCCCCTCCCCCCCCCCACTCTCCATCTCGTGTTCCCTCAGTCTCCTGCCCCCCCCCCCACTCTCCATCTCGTGTTCCCTCAGTCTCCTGCCCCCCCCCCCCCCCACTCTCTCCATCCGTGTTCCCCCAGTCTCCGTCTCCCTGCCCCCCCCCCCCACTCTCCATCTCGTGTTCCCCTCAGTCCCTGCCCCCCCCACTCTCTATCTCGTGTTCCCTCAGTCTCCTGCCCCTGTCCCCCCCACTCTCCATCTGGTGTTCCCTCAGTCTCCTGTCCCCCCCACTCTCTGTCTCTTGTGTTCCCTGTCCCCCCCCCCCCCACTCTCCGTCTCTTGTGTCCCCTGTCCCCCCCCCACCCTCCATCTGGTGCCCCTGTCCCCCCCCTCTCCGTTATCTTGTGTCCCCTCATTCTCCTGTCCCCCCCCCACTCTCCATCTCGTGTTCCCTCAGTCTCCTCTCCCCCCCCCCCCCCACGCTCCATCTCGTGTTCCCTCAGTCTCCTGTCTCCCCCCCCCCCACTCTCCATCTCGTGTTCCCTCAGTCTCCTGTCCCCCCCCCACTCTCCGTCTCTTGTGTCCCCTGTCCCCCCCACTCTCCGTCTCTTGTGTCCCCTGTCCCCCCCCCCACTCTCCGTCTCTTGTGTCCCCCCCTCCCCCCCCACTCTCCGTCTCTTGTGTCCCCTGTCCCCCCCACTCTCCGTCTCTTGTGTCCCCTGTCCCCCCACTCTCCGTCTCTTGTCCCCTGTCCCCCCCCTCCGTCTCCCCCCCCCCACTCTCCGTCTCTTGTGTCCCCTGTCCCCCCCCTCTCCGTCTCTTGTGTCCCCGTCCCCCCCACTCTCGTCTCTTGTGTCCCCTGTCCCCCCCACTCTCCGTCTCTTGTGTCCCCTGTCCCCCCCACTCTCCGTCTCTTGTGTCCCCTGTCCCCCCCACTCTCCGTCTCTTGTGTCCCCTGTCCCCCCCCACTCTCCGTCTCTTGTGTCCCCTGTCCCCCCACTCTCCGTCTCTTGTGTCCCCTGCCCCCCCCCACTCTCCGTCTCTTGTGTCCCCTGTCCCCCCCCCACTCTCCGTCTCTTGTGTCCCCTGTCCCCCCCCCCCCCCTCCGTCTCTTGTGTCCCCTGTCCCCCCCCCCACTCTCCGTCTCTTGTGTCCCCTGTCCCCCCCCCTCCACTCTCGTCTCTTGTGTCCCCTTTTCTCCCCCACTCTCCATCTCTTGTGTCCCCTGTCCCCCCCCCACTCTCTGTCTCTTGTGTCCCCTGCCCCCCCCCCCCACTCTCCGTCTCTTGTGTCCCCTGTCCCCCCCCCTCCGTCTCTTGTGTCCCCCTGTCCCCCCCCCACTCTCCGTCTCTTGTGTCCCCCCTTTCCCCCCACTCTCCGTCTCTTGTGTCCCCTTTTCCCCCCACTCTCCGTCTCTTGTGTCCCCTGTCCCCCCCCCCACTCTCTCCGTCTCTTGTGTCCCCTTCCCCCCCCACTCTCCATCTCTTGTGTCCCCTGTCCCCCCCCCCCCACTCTCTGTCTCTTGTGTCCCCTTTTCCCCCCCACTCTCCATCTCTTGTGTCCCCTGTCCCCCCCCCCCACTCTCCGTCTCTTGTGTCCCCTGTCCCCCCCCACTCTCCGTCTCTTGTGTCCCCTGTCCCCCCCCCACTCTCCGTCTCTTGTGTCCCCTGTCCCCCCCACTCTCCGTCTCTTGTGTCCCCTGTCCCCCCCACTCTCCGTCTCTTGTGTCCCCTGTCCCCCCACTCTCCGTCTCTTGTGTCCCCCCCCCCCCCCACTCTCCGTCTCTTGTGTCCCCTGTCCCCCCCCCACTCTCCGTCTCTTGTGTCCCCTGTCCCCCCACCTCCGTCTCTTGTGTCCCCTGTCCCCCCCCCACTCTCCATCTCTTGTGTCCCCTGTCCCCCCCCTCCACTCTCTGTCTCTTGTGTCCCCTTTTCTCCCCTCTCTCCATCTCTTGTGTCCCCTGTCCCCCCCCCACTCTCTGTCTCTTGTGTCCCCTTTTCTCCCCACTCTCCATCTCTTGTGTCCCCTGCCCCCCCCCCACTCTCCGTCTCTTGTGTCCCCTGTCCCCCCTCCGTCTCTTGTGTCCCCTGTCCCCCCCCCACTCTCCGTCTCTCTTGTGTCCCCTTTTCTCCCCCACTCTCCGTCTCTTGTGTCCCCTTTTCTCCCCACTCTCCATCTCTTGTGTCCCTGTCCCCCCCCCCCACTCTCTGTCTCTTGTGTCCCCTTTTCCCCACTCTCCATCTCTTGTGTCCCCTGTCCCCCCCCCCCACTCTCTGTCTCTTGTGTCCCCTTTTCCCCCCACTCTCCATCTCTTGTGTCCCCTGTCCCCCCCCCCACTCTCCGTCTCTTGTGTCCCCTGTCCCCCCCCACTCTCCGTCTCTTGTGTCCCCTGTCCCCCCCCCACTCTCCGTCTCTTGTGTCCCCTGTCCCCCCCCCCCCCCTCCGTCTCTTGTGTCCCCTGTCCCCCCCACACTCTCCATCTCATGTCCCCTAAGTCTCCTGTCCCCCCCCCCCCCCCGGTGTCCCAGTCTCTCACCTGCTGTGACAAGCCTTGAGGCAGTCCACCTGGCGCTGTCTCTGCTGTTGCAGGCTGTTGAGGGCCGGCAGAGGTCTAGAGCCTTTAGAGGAGAAGAACCAGCTCATGGTCGGATAATCTGACTGAGGAGGGGGAAGGGAGACTCGTGTTGTTGTTGTGGTCAGAGGAGGCGGTCCGGGCTGATCCGGTCAGCAGAGGAGGGGGTCCCCGGGGAGGCAGTCCAGCAGGGTGTCCGGAGTCATGGGGTCACAGTATACATGTGTCCGGCCTCCCCATTGTATCATCACTTTCCCAGACCCCTCTATAGCTGTCCTCAGGTCGCACCGTGTGACAATTCTCCCCTCGTCATGGTGACGTACCTCAGCCACAAGGAGAGGCCACGCCCGCCGGTCTTTTCCGTCATCTCGGTGCGCCTCGGCGGCGGAGGTGTGCGCTAGGGGGTAGAATGCAGCGGATGGACGTCGCTCAGGTGACGTAGAGGGCCTTGTAGAGACCTGAGTGACCTCATAGAGACGGACTGTGACGCGCTGCTGAAGCGGGGGAGACCTATTTCTGGACAAGAAGACAGAGCGGATGGTGAGGGGAGAGCCTGTATGTCTGGGCGGACAGCACACAGGACTGGTGGGAGGGTCCTGCCTGGACCTATTGTTTGACAGCTCTGCCTATGGGAGGCCAGCAGGTGGATGTCCTGTGTGTACAGGACACACTGGGGGGGGTCTGTGTGTACAGGACACACTTTGTGGGGGGGGGAGGTCCTGTGTGTACAGGACACACTTTGTGGGGGGGAGGTCTGTGTGTACAGGACACACTTTGTGGGGGGAGGGGGGGAGGTCTGTGTGTACAGGACACACTTTGTGGGGGGGGGGGGGGGAGGTCTGTGTGTACAGGACACACTTTGTGGGGGGGAGGTCCGTGTGTACAGGACACACTTTGGGGGGGGGAGGTCTGTGTGTACAGGACACACTTTGTGGGGGGGGGTCTGTGTGTACAGGACACACTTTGAGGGGGGAGAGGTCCGTGTGTACAGGACACACTTTGTGGGGGGGGAGGTCTGTGTGTACAAGACACATTGGGGGGGGGGTCTGTGTGTACAAGACCCATTTGGGGGGGGGGTCTGTGTGTACAAGACACCATTTGGGGGGGGGGGGGGTCTGTGTGTGTACAAGACAAGTACAAGACACACTTTGGGGGGGGGGAGGTCCGTGTGTACAGGACACACTTTGTGGGGGGGGGGAGGTCCGTGTGTACAGGACACACTTTGTGGGGGGGGGGGGGAGAGGTCCGTGTGTACAGGACACACTTTGTGGGGGGGGGAGGTCTGTGTGTACAAGACACATTGGGGGGGGGGAGGTCTGTGTGTACAAGACACATTTGGGGGGGGGAGGTCTGTGTGCACAAGACCCATTTGGGGGGGGGGGTCTGTGTGTACAAGACCCATTGGGGGGGGGGGGGGGGGGGTCTGTGTGTACAAGACCCATTTGGGGGGGGGGGTCTGTGTGTAACAAGACACCAGGGGGGGGTGTGTTACAGGACACACTGGGGAGGATTTGTGTGTACAAGACCCATTGTGGGGGGAGGGGGGTCTGTGTGTACAAGGCACATGGGGGGGGGTCTGTGTGTACAAGGCACATGGGGGGGGGGTCTGTGTGTACAGGACACACTTTGAGGTGGGAGGTCTGTGTGTACAAGACACATGTGGGGGGTACAGGACACACTGGGGGGGTCTGTGTGTACAAGGCACATTGGGGGGGGGGGATAGCACGTTAGGCTCCTCGCTATAGATTATGTGTAAAGTTCATACTGCCGTTAGCACCCCTGCTGAAAGAGCATACACTTGGCTTCTTTTGGGGGGGGGGTGGGAGGTCTGTGTGTACAAGACACATTGGGGGGTGGGGAGGTGTGCGTACAAACACATTGAGGGGGAGGAGGCTGTGTGTACAAGACACATTCTGGGGGGGGGGGGCTGTGTGTACAAGATACATTGGAGGGGGAGATCTGTGTGTACAAGACACATGGGGGGGGGGGGAGGAGGTCTGTGTGTACAAGACACATTGAGTGGGAGGTCTGTGTGTACAAGACACATTGAGTGGGGGGGTCTGTGTGCACAAGACACATGGGGGGGGGGGGGGAGGTCTGTGTGCACAAGACACATTGGGGGGGGGGAGGTCTGTGTGCACAAGACACATTGGGGGGGGGGAGGTCTGTGTGCACAAGACACATTGGGGGGGCAGGAGGTCTGTGTGTACAAGACACATTGGGGGGGGTCTGTGTGCACAAGTTACATTGGGGGGGAGGTCTGTATACACAAGACACACTGGGGGGGGAGGTCTGTGTGTACAAGACACATTGGGGGATGGTACGTTGGGCTCCTCACTAAAGACTATGTGTGAAGTTGATACTGCCCTTAGCCTCCCTGCTGAGAAGCTGCCCTTAGCTTCCGTGTTGAGAGGCTGCCCTTAGCTTCCGTGTTGAGAGGCTGCCCTTAGCCTCCCTGCTAAAAGAGTATACACTTGGCATCTTTGCCGAATGAGTACGCTTGGCATCCTGTGCATTCTCTTTGCTGAAAGACTGTGCTGAGCATTCTTGCAGAAAATCTGCTGCCAGACCCCATCTATGCCTTGTACCCCTTGCACTGTATTGAATGCTTTGCTTACAATGGGATGCTGCCTTCAACACTTCTTCCAGCAGATTTATTAAAGTCCAATTTTAACCTAAATCTCTTTTTTGCCATTCCATACCTTTTTGAAAAGCGCAGCCATGTAGGGCTCCGTGTGCACAGCCGCAGCATTCATTCACAGAGTTCTGTGAATGAATCAACTACAAGTGCCGACATCCTTTGCAAATGTTGGCTTTTAGTTCTCAACAGACTACCACAATGCAACTTACACTGACAGTCTGCAGGAGTCCTGCATGGCACCAGCCATCTGCTGATAGCTGGTGCAATGCTTTCCAGGCTTCTAAAAATAAAAAAAAAATGGTAAATGCACATCAGTAACTGAGACCAGAGGATCCAACTTCAGAATGCTGGAATCATAGCAATAATTCTGCTGCCAGTACTCAGAAAAAATGTAAACTGTAATTTAAAGCGATATATGTCCACAAGGTGGCACGCACCTCTTTGGATTTAACCCTTAGTAATCTAGCACAATGTACAAAGTATCTAAATTCCTAGAGATCCCTTTTTAAAGCTGAACAAAACTCTCCTATTCTTTATAGCCAGAGAAGCTTCTGTTTGATCTGCAGTCATGCTGCTGCACTCATGGTCAGCTATGACCCGTTCATTTGAGAGCACAAGCAACTGTGACAATGATCATATGACCGCTTTCCTTTGGGAAACAGTTAAATCATTTCAGGTTTAATTCCACTTTTTAAAGGACTATTGTACCTTAAAGCAGAATTAAAGGTAAAAATATATTTACCTCCGTTCCAACAGTCCAATGTCTGCAGAGTCCCTCTCCGGTGTTGGCATCTTCTATCTGGTTTGTTACAGGTGCCAGTCTTTGGCCACCTCAGTTGACTAGTGCAGGATGATGTCATTCCGTTTGCAGGAGTGCAGTCATCCCATCGGCATTCAGGCAGTGTGCTGGAATGTAAACTGAGCTGCTCATACACACTGTATATTATAGAGGAGATTGTGAACAGGCAGGTAAGTGTATTTTATTGCAGAAGAGACACTGCATGTCTCCAATAAGGACCCTGCCTGTTCAAGAACTGAACACAATGGGATTGGGGTGGGGTGAGGGTTTACGATCAAAGACTGCACAGTGATGATCTGTGGAATGGAGAGGAAGGTGTGTATTTTATCAGGCAGGCTGTACTCAGGGGTGGAGCATTAATAAAAGATGACTGTACTGAAAAGTACAGGTAACATTCTGTGATAATAGTTCAAACATTGGATGTTATTGGAATGGAATGACTATTTTCTGAGGGTTTGGGGGGGCTGTGTGTACTGCAGATATGTGTGTGTGGGGGTGGGCAGCAGGGTATATAGTGAGGGAGCAGTGTATACAGACACACTACCTCAATTGCCACCGCTAAATGTCATTGCCAGTTTTTGTATGTAATTGGTGGCTTTTTTTTCTTCTCTATAGCGCAGAGAAGGAGCTGTACTTCGCCCCACCTCTAAAGTAAACAAAGGGGCATGGTCACCCAGTGATATTATCCAGTGGCCCAGCCCTTTTGATTACTTTAGTGGGGGGTTAATGATGGCTTCTTCTCAGAGCTATGAAGTGAAGGAAAAAGAAAAAGCCGGAAATTGCATTTAAAAACCAGCAATGACGTTTAGCGGCAGCAAGTGAGGCACCCTGTCTGTATACACTACTTCCTCACAGTATACACTGCTCCTCTCCTTGCACACATGATGGGCACTGTGACAGGGGTACTGTGTAGTGTTTAGGCACTGTACAGTTTAGATCGGTAACTCTTTGTTAGAAGATTCTTCTTCTCACACAGGATCTGTATGTGGAAGAGGAAGCTGGTAACAGCAAGTTAACGCTCTGTGTTTACATTTGTGATCAGCTGTGATTGCATACAGCCGATCATGTGGTAAAGAGCCACTGCCATTGGCTCTTTATCTCGAACGGTGATGCACTGTGTCCAAGGGAATCAGCTCACCACCGATCTGCACACATGTACAGCTAGAGTGGGAAGACATCATGTGACGTCCTCCCAGAACAAGAGAGCTGTCATTGCCCAATACAATGGATGGGAGGTGGTTAGATTGTACATGAGATATATATACATACACACAGACACACATTTTGGTTTTTTTTTTTTCATTCACTATATTTTTTTCTACGAAAGTGGAGGTCGGTTGAACCCGTTATCCTGTTTACCCTGCTACGATAGATGTAATTAAAATGTTGATGATAATTAATTTTTTTCTTCTGATTAAGAAAAACTACATTTTTATTTCAGCTTTGCAGAGTGCAATTATCCATCTATGAAACCTCCCAGTAGACACGCGCAACATTTTGATGCCTGCCTCTGAGCTCCTCCCCCAATACCACTATGCCTGCCGCAACAGTGGACCACAGCCAGCGGATCTGCGAAGTCTGGGCCTGCAACCTGGATGAACAGATGAAGAGAATCCGTCAAGTTATACGCA